TTCTTCTTCTTCTTCTTCTTCTTCTTCTTCTTCTTCTTCTTCTTCTTTCCTAAGTAACCTCTATGCACATCGTGAAGCTTGAACTCACCACCCTGAGATCAAGGGTCTCATGCTCTACCAACTGAGCCAGCCAGGCACACCTCACTAAAGAGCTTTTTCAGACTTTTATTTTTATCCTAAAAGCATCCTTCCTCCCATTGCCTATGAAATTTTGATAACACAACAGACACACGCTGTATCTATTCATGTGCTCCGTGTCTATCTTCAGGGTTAAGGCCTTTTATATGGATGTGGGTCCTCTGCCTCAGATTTCTTCCGCATAGATAATCTTCCGATATGATTCCCAATTTGGGTTCCTTTAAAATAGAGGGGGAACAAAACATTTGAAAACAAACTGAATGTAGAATCATGCTCCATTGTTACGATTCTCACCCCATGCCTACCATTTAACAGCATTTTATTTTACTTTAAGTGTTTATTTATTATTTTTGAGAGAGAGCACTAGCGGGGTAGGAGCAGAGAGCGAGGGAGACACAGAATCCTAAACAGGCTCCAGGCTCTGAGCTGTCAGCACAGAACCAGACACAGGGCTTGAACTCACAAACTGTGAGATCATGACCTAAGCAGAAGTCAGACACTTAATTGATTGAGCCACCTAGGCAGCCCTATTATTTTATTTTTATTTTTTTAATGTTCATTTATTTATTTTGGTGGGGGAGGGGCAGAGAGAGAATCCGAAGCAGACTCCCTGTTGTCAGCACAGAGCCCAACATCTGGCTGGATCCCACAAACCACATCATGACCTGAGCTGAAATTAAGAGTTGGAGGCTTGGGGCACCTGGGTGGCTCAGTCGGTTAAGTGTCCGACTTCAGCTCAGGTCACAATCTCGCGGTCCATGAGTTCGAGCCCAGCATCAGGCTCTGGGCTGGTGGCTCAGAGCCTGGAGCCTGCTTCCGATTCTGTGTCTCCCTCTCTCTCTGCCCCTCCCCTCTCTCTCTGCCCCTCCCCCGTTCATGCTCTGTCTCTCCTCTGTCTCAAAAATAAATAAAACGTTAAAAAAAAAAAAGAGTTGGAGGCTTAACTGACAGAGCCACCCAGGCACCCCTGAGTTGTTTTTTAAGAAAAATATATATGCATAAGTTGCTTTTTATGAAGTATTTCTAATGCATTTAATTTCATTTTCATAAAAATAGATTTTTCTCTCCCCACACTTACACTTTCTCACTATATATAATGTTTAATCACATTTTATCATTTCAAAGACAGGACAATCACTTGGAGATCAGACACAATCGCTGGCAGGGGCAGGGGGCATCAATGAGAAAATACATAGGAAACAAATAGGTGAAAGAAGTAATAAACAGAAAATAGTAACTAACACTTTCATAGAATTTACAAGGCATCCAGAACTGTTTTAAGAGCTTTACAAAAGCCGGGGCACCTGGGTGCCTCAGAGGGATGAGCGTCTGACTTGAGCTCAGGTCATGATCTCTCAGTTAGTGAGTTCAAGCCCCTTGTTGGGCTCACTGCTCTCAGCAGAGAGCCCACTTCAGATCCTCTGTCTCCCTCTCTCTGCTCCTTCCCCACTTGTGCTCTGTCAAAAACAAATAAAACATTTAAAAAAAAATAAGAGCTTTACAAAACCCATATAATCCTCACCACGGAAGTTCCATTATCATCTCCCATTTTCCTGATGAGGAGACTGAGGCACACAGAGGTCTTTTTTTTTTTTTTTTT